ACACCAAACAAGGTTTTTTCTCAACGAGGACCGACCAGGTGTCGCCTTCAATACACTTCCAGCCCCGTGAAGCCGGCGGCGCTGGGACACTGCAAAAACGCGCCAGCCGCGCTAGCCTCGCCCTAGCCTCGCGCCAGCCTCCCGCTAGCCAAGTCAGCGAAGCTGAGGGTACGCCCGTTGACGCCAAACGCCTGCAGGCCCAACTATTTTTCTTTTTTTGACTCATCATCAAATTAACTTCGAACTATTTTTTTTTGCGCAAGGCTGCTCGACGAGGAGGAGGAGCAGCACGAAGAGAGAGAAGAGAAAGAAGGAGGAGGAGGAGGAGGAGGAGGAGGAGGAGGAGGAGGAGGAGAGGAGGAGGAGGAGGAGGAGAGGAGGAGGAGGAGGAGGAGGAGGAGGAGGAGGAGGAGGAGGAGGAGGAGGAGGAGGAGAGGAGGAGGAGGGGGAGAGGAGGAGGAGGAGGAGGAGGAGGAGGAGGAGGAGGAGGAGGAGGAGGAGGAGGAGGAGGAGGAGGAGGAGGAGGAGGAGGAGGAGGAGGAGGAGGAGGAGGAGGAGGAGAAGAAGAAGAAGAAGAAGAAGAAGAAGAAGAAGAAGAGGAAGAAGCAGGAGAGCAGCCTGTTTAACTGCGTTTTAGCGACTAATTGAGACGAATGGTGGACGCGCAAAGACCGGCGGTAAAAAGGAATTAGACGATTCATCCCGCCACTGCACTGCAACACTCTCTCCGTCTCTCTCTCGCTGTCTCTCATGTCGGCGCGTATTAGGTGACGCTTTGCGAAGCCGGGCTGTCGGCGAGTGCGAGAGTGGGCCAGAAGACCGGCGGAGGCGAACAAAACTCTAGACGCGTTTTGAACTGCGGAGTCGCTAAATGGGACTCGAACCGAACGTGTGACCCCACCAATGGATTGCTCTCCGAACGAGGAATCCATTGGTGGGGTCACCCGTTCGGTTCGAGTCCTGTTTAGCGACTCTCTAGCTCAAAACGCGTCTGGAGTTTCTTGGGCAGCGCGCTGGGTAGCGCCCGCGGACCGCCGGGTAGGCAACGCGAGCGCAGCGGTGCCCAGCGTGTTGCCTACCCGGCGGTTTGAAGGCGTCCACCGCCTCGTGGACCTCGCGGGAGGGAGTGTTTGCCTAGCACACTGGCTGGCTGCGCGCTCCGCGTTGCTCGGCGCGGTGGCCGAGGCTGGGGAACACACGGCCCACACAGAGCTCTTTATCGGCCGAAGGGACTAGCGGACTAAGCTCCTCATGAAAACCAACTCCATCTTTTAAGATTTATGTTTCGACTTGAGCGGCGGGGCGCGGCGGGCCCCGAACTTGGCGAGTGAGAGAGACAGACGCGGGCGATCGTGCTGTTAGCTCTTCCCGGTATCGCCCGGCCAGGGCAGGCCACTCCGGAACTTTCCAGCACTCGCACGGCGCCGAAATTAAATCTCGCCCCTCGCCACGCGAACGGACTATCTAGATCTCGCCACGCACAGTGGGCTAGAAGACCGGCGGAGGCGATCAGAACCCCGAACGCGTTTTGAGCTCCAGAGTTGCTTAGTGAGCCTCGAACCGAACGTGTGACCCCATCAATGGATTCCTCGTTCGGAGAGCAATCCATTGGTGTGGTCAGACGCTCGGTTCGAGTCCCATTAAGCGACTCTGGAGGTCAAAACGCGTCTGGAGTTTTGTCCGCCTCCACCGGTCTTCTGGCCCACGGTGCCATGGCCAGGTTCGCCCCGCCGAGCCGGCGCCGTGACGCGTGGAGTCGAAGCGGGGTTTATCGCATTAATAGCAGCCCCTGTATAAGCCTCGCAGCAAACGAAAAAGGAAGAAAGTTGTTGACACATTTCGGAAAGTCGCGAAAAAAAAAAATCGCGTGCAAAGAACGGCAAAGAAACAGGTGGTCGAGGGGGTATGGACTCTTATAACTAGCGACCTGACGTCTATGACGTCTCGAAAGTACCGGGATTCAGCTAAAAATAGCCCAAACTAAACTAAAAATTAAGTAAAATTTTGAGAATTTCGGCTGTACACTGTGAAAATTTGTTGTCACTTTATGACAAAAAGGTGGATGATATTTTCATCACTTACAAATTATGACAATCTCATCACAAATTGATGACATTTTCATCAAAGCTCCTATACTTATTGCATGGGCGTGACAACAATGTCATCAATTGTTTTGATGACATTGTTGTAAGGAAAATTAGCCTTGAAATTGTCATCAAGTGACGACTCAAATTTTCTCAGTGTACCACTACTATTACACGAGGGTCCACCCCACCCCTTGGCAGGTGGTACTTTAACAGTTCCCGGCGAGTTGTTGCGACTTGGGCTACTCGTCCTGGAGTATGAGCGATCCGGGCCGCAGTCGGCACGAGTGGACTTAGCCGAGCCCTCGGCGGTGGTGGTGGGGACACAAATCACGAGCCGAGTTCCCTTCAGCACAATACGCGCTAAGATATTTTATCTGATCGACGCAGCAGGCGCTCGGGCCCATTCAACTCGGAGGGCTTTGGGGGTCGCACCTCGGGACGACCTGGAGGGCGGCCCTCCAGTCCAGAGCCCTGCAGACTCCAGAGGTCACCGGAGATTTGCCCCAGCCAGCGACTCCCGGCCCAGTGCTGCCACAAGTAGGCAAATCTTTCCACGATGCAGCTGGCTGGGCAACTTTTCAAGACCAAAAGTCCAGATTTTGCCCAGGAGGAAAGCTGGGGTTGGCAACCCTGTTCACACTGCACAGTGCACCAGAAGACCCGCGGAGGCGGCCAAAATTCTAGACGCGTTCTGAGCTCCATAGTCGCTAAATGGGACCCGAAGCGAACGTGTGACCCCACCAATGGATTGCTCTTCAAACGAGGAATCTATTGGTCGGGTCACACGTTCGGTTCGAGTCCCATTTAGCGACTCTGCAGCTCAAAACGCGTCTGGAGTTTCGGCCGCCCCCACCGGTCTTCTGGCCCAAAAGGAAGACGCGACCTCACCTTAGGCCGTGAGCAGGGAGGCCAACTGTCACCGGCCGCTGGCCAGCAGTTGGCTGCACTGCACCAGGGCGAGCAGCCAGGTCGCCACGCGGTTCGACGTGACGCCGGAGTTGCCGTCGTGCACCGCGGCGGGCAGCTCCCCTGCAGACAAACAAAACCAATAATTTAAACACATTTCTTTCGAAAAACAAAAAAAAAACGTCCATGAAAAATAAAATTCCGACGAGTTTTATTTTTTAAATTGGAGTGTTTTTCCTTCTAACGGAAGGAGTGACTTATCGGCTTCCGTTTTTCTAAAGCGGAACCGAGATGAATAAATATAAACTCCCGACCGAAAGCAAAAGAGGTTCTTTCCGAAACCTGAAAAAAAAAATTAAATTGGCAAAGCTTTTTGGCAACTTTGCGTTTTTCCGGCGTCTCTGCGAAGAACGTCCTTGAAATATGCGCGTGGCCGATATTGCAAGCCAGCCAGCGGCAGCGCGGCGGCAGTGGCGGCAAGCCCGGCGAGCGAGCCGCAGACAAATTCTCGATCCAGATACCGCCCGCCGTCGCCCACTTTAGAGAGACCAGATTTCGGCCGCAGATTCGGCGGCTAGCCTCGCCTCGACCCCCAAGGGTACACTCTGTGTGTGTGTGTGTGTGTGTGTGTGTGTGTGTGTGTGTGTGTGTGTGTGTGTGTGTGAGTGTGTGTCTGCGCTAGTGTGTGCGAGAGGGATGGTGTATTGACGAGATCGATCTTCACGTTCCCTGACGTGTTCGGAGACATTTTTCGTCCCCGTCGCACCCGTAGGCTGGATGGAGGCTAGCGTAGGCTTGCGGCGTGCAGTGCCTGCCTGCCTATGCAGACTGATTCCGAGAGTCGTCGCTCCGTCCCTCTCGCACTCAGGGGTGCGCGCCCCGTATGGGTGCGAGAGAGACAGTGTGTCTCGATCTGCTGCCTGCCGGGGGTGGTGGGCGACGAATCCCGCTGTGACAGCATGTAAATCACTCTTTGCGCACGCGTTTCCTACCGCCTGATGACTGGCGGCGTCTGTCTGTCTGTCTGTCTGTCTGTCTGTCTGTCTGTCTGTCGGCCTGTCCGTCCGTCCGCCGGGTGCCAACACCGCCGCCGCCGTCCTCCCGCCTCCCGTACCCGCGCACTGTCAGCAAACATCACGTATTCTTCTGATCCGTGTTGGTTCAGCCTCCACGAGGCAGCTCAATGGCCGTGAACACACACACACACACACACACACACACACACACACACACACACAGACAGAGAGAGAGAGACACAGACACACACGCACACTCACCGACACACACACCGACACACACACACACACGCACGCACACACACACACACAAAACGCGCTTTCAGTTGCCTCACTCTCTGCCCGTGGAAAAGCCTCCCTTACACCGCCGATCCGCGGCACTTGCGTTGACAGCGTGTCAACATTTGGCAGCAGTATGCAGTGCTGCTCTGCCAATAAAACAACAAAATAAAAAAAAATAAAAAAAATCTAAAAAGACTCAATCCGTTTTAATTTAAATTTGTTATAGTGGGCTTAAAAACAGCGTGGGCGTACACAAAACAAAAATGTTCGTGTAAAAAAAAAACAAGTTTTTTTACAGTGTGCTGTGCGATCGGCAGGCCGGAACGGTGCCTGTCCAGCGCGGCTGTCGGTCAGTCAGTTTCTCCAGCGGTCACTCTCTCCAGCCAAGGATCAGCCGATCCATCAGCGCCCACCCCACTGCCAGGCTGCGGAGCCTGCGGAGCCTGCGGAGGCGAGTCAGGAAATGGGAAAAAATCTCATACATACTAGCAAGCAGCGTGGCAAAGGCCAACTTCTTGGCTGTCAAGCCCTTTTTTTTTATATCGAGCCCCCGGCTGTAATGCACCAAGGGAATGGGCTAGCTGCAAAACGTCGCCCTTTTGTACCGAAGGGTTGTCTTGTTAAACCGCAAAACATGAGCCTCCCTTTGCTTCACAGACCGTTTGGCTCCACCTGGCAGGCAGGCAGGCCAGGCCTACGCCCGTCCGCACGCTGCCCTTACACGACCCTTCCATTGGGCCGGCTCCAGCCAGCGTGGCCTGGCTAGCCCAGCCTAGCGTAGCAGAGCAGGGGAAAAAACTTGAGCGGGCCAAGCGACGCTCAGTGGGCCCGAAGACCGGTGGAGGCGGCCAAAATTCTAAACGCGTTTTGAGCTCCAGAGTCGCTAAACATGACTCGAACGGAACGTGTGACCCCACCAATGGATTCCTCGTTCGGAGAGCAATCCATTGGTGGGGTCACACGTTCGGTTCGAGCCCCATTCAGCGACTCTGGAGCTCAAAACGCGTCCGGGATTTTGGCCGCCTCCACCGGTCTTCTGGCCCACTGCGCCGGGAAAAGCGACAAGTCGAAATGTAGCGTCCCAGGGAACAATGTCCGACTGGAAGGTAAAACGTGACGCTTAAAGGCCACTTAAAAAGCGTCTCATTCCTCCCCCGCCGCGATTTCTTCCTTCATTAAGCGGAGCGAGGCCTCGACAAATCCGAGGAGATGACAAAGTGCGGCTGGCTGGCTGGCTGGCTGGCGGGCTGGCTGGGCTGGCCGAGCTGGCAGCCACGGGCCGAGCGGCATTACCGCAAAATTAAAACGGAGCAGAAACGTTTGCGGAGGCGCCTGCCTGCCTTTGAAGTGCCGCCCAGCAGCCTGCCTCCTCCTGACTTAAAAAAAGAGAGCGAGAAAAAAAAACGAGTTTGGTGGTCACGGCATTTTTTTGTCGTGGCAATTAAATGCACACCAGCTACATCTCACGGGAGGAAAAAAATTAAGACGAATGTCCCGAGCGCCCCTTTTTTCGGCTTCCGTATTTGTTTACGTGTCTACCAAAGTGTGCACGGCTTGGCCACACTTTGTTTTCATGCGGGCAACACAATACGCGCTGCAGCCAGGGTAGTCTTTTTTAGTCATGAATCTACGACTTGTGTAGTCGGGTCAGTTCACCCAGCTGGGGACGCGCGGGACTCCCCCACCACTCCAAGCCTTGCCTCACCACCAGTCCAGCCTCGGCCAGCCGGTGCGCCTATTCCCCCACCACTCCGTCCATACCCCCACCACATGCAAGCCGCTTGCCGTCCACTGCACCTACTTCCCCCACCACTCCGATTTTCCCCCCACCACCAGTAAAGCCATACAGCCCACCGCTGCAGTCCGTACGACTGGCAGAGTCACGCGCAGAGTCGTTGCTGCGACTGTCTGTGTCTCTCCCTCATCAATTCAGCCCGCTGTGTTATCTGTCGGCCAATTTTCCACGTCCTTGCCGCCTAAACCCTTTTGACTGATTAAAGTCCCGACCGGCACCCTTATCGCCCTGCCAAGGATTCCGAGGCGGCCGGGCAGCCATTGGTGGGGCGCACAGTGGGCCAGAAGACCGGTGGAGGCGGTGAAAGTCGGACGCGTTTTGAGCTGCAGAGTCGCTAATTGGGACTCGAACTGAACGTGTGATCCCACCAATGGATTGCTCTCCGAACGAGGAATCCATTGGTGCGGTCACACGTTCGGTTCGAGTACTGCTTAGCGACTCTGGAGCTTAAAACGCGTCTAGAGATTTGTCCGCCTCCACCGGCCTTCTGGCCCACTGTGGCCCGCCGTGCACCGAGTCGAACGCGTTGCTTTCGCACACGGTAACGAGACCCCAACTCCGCTGCAGCGGAGCGCACTCCGACTTTCCTTGTTTGAGCTTCCACAGAAAGGACAAAAGCAAACTCACTGCCCCGTTAAAAAAAAGAGTACACCAGGAATCGAACCACGATCAGCGAGAGTCAACGCACTCGACCATGAAGCGTGCCGCGACAAAATGAGGACAGGGTGCACAAACTTTATCTAACAAAAAAAAAGAGTAGACGAAGGAAAAACGTTTCCCCAACGCAATATTCTTGACGTTGCCGGCAGCGAAAGGGGGAAGGGGGGCAGTCAAGGAGCGAGAGAAAGAAAGGCTTACACAGCACCGCGTTCCCCATGCATGAACCAGACGGTCACCTGTTCGCCGCCCTGACACTGTGTGGCATTAGCTCCTTGCCGTGCACCTATCACGTAACCCCTCCGTGTCACGTGGTTTCTGGACCCGCCGGTTTCAAACAAGACAATCCCAGTGGACTTACAAGGCGGGGGGGGGGGGGGGGGCACGGATTGTGGTAGGATCACTGGGACTGGACGGCGAGGGGAGCCGAGGAGCCGAGAAGCACCAAGCCGGGGTTGAGGAGGTCATGGCGACTCACGATGTATCTTCCCTTGGCGAGGATCCAACGGCCATTCCGTGCACCGATAGATAGATAGATGTATAGATAGAGAGATGAATAGATGGAGCGACGGATACCGCATTATTTGTTGACGAACATCGAACAATCAGACGGCGGTGTGGCCAAACTATCGGCCCGGTCCACTTCGCAAACAGTGGTGGTGGCGTCTTCGGCGCGCTGATGACTCCTCTGCGGCTGTTGCTGTTGTTGTTGTTGTTGCTGTTGTTGTTGTTGTTGTGAAGTTGGCGGGGGAGCGAAGAGGCCATCGTAATCGGGCCACGATTTGGCATTTGGAATGCACCGTGCTCGTCATTACACAAGCAAACGGGAGTAGAGGCGATATTTTTTTTTTTAAGTAAAAACGTGGCAAAAAAATATGCATTATACCAGGTCCCGAAAAGGGAGAGACGAGGTTAAATAATAAAGAAGAGGTGCCGGCAGAACCAGAAAATCGAGAGGGTGGCGGAAAAAAAACCGCGTGTGTGTGTGTGTGTGTGAGAGTTAGGTCGCCCGTCGCCATGGTGTCACGCAGCGAATTCAGATACATCCTGTTTTTTTACACGCACGGCCCATGTTTTCGTGCCGTCATTCGCGAAGAGCACAACAAAAATCCAAATGGGGAGGCAGAGAGAGAGAAAGAGAGAGAGAGAGAGAGAGAGAGAGAGAGAGAGAGAGAGAGAGAGAGAGAGAGAGAGAGAGAGAGAGAGAAGGGTTCCAGTCTGGCGCTAAGAATTCCACTCTCCTTGAGCTTTTCCCTTATCAAGGCCGTCCGGGGGGGGGGGGGGGGGCAGGGTCGCTGTGGCGGTCCTCGGCAGGTGAGCTCGCCGTGGGGGCAGCCGGGGCAGCCAGGGCTTTGCAGACGTATATGAACGAGTCTCTCTGGAGGCAGAGCGAGATGGACAGCGCTACTCTCGTCTGGCGACGACGCGACGCCGCTCTCGCGACGCACACAGTGTGCCCACACACCACTCCGCACGCATTTTTCTAATCAAACAAAACAGATAAACGCAACGAGTTTTTCTCCCTCGCGCGCGATGGATAACGATGCAGCCATTTCCTCGATGGAGCTGGGCGGGCCGGACACCCACTTTGAAATAACAAACAACAACAACAACAACAACAACAACATGAGTCGTCGCCGCGAGTTCGCCTGCAAGGAGACCACGCCACGAGAAGAATCTTTGTGAAGGCGGCGGCGGCGGCCTGTTCCGTCCCATTGTTGCACTGCAAGTGTCCGGGAGACAATGGCGCCGTGCGGCTGCGGATGCCCCGAGACCTCCCCGTCGACGGACCGTCGACGTCATCCTGGAGGTCTGTGGAGGTTCTGGAGGCCAAAGGGCCGCCAAGGACGCCTCGGCGGTACACAGTGGGCCAGAAGACCGGTGGAGGCGGCCAAAACTCTAGACGCGTTTTGAGCTCCAGAGTCGCTAAACAGGACTCGAACCGAACGTGTGACCCCACCAATGGATTCCTCGTCCGGAGAGCAATCCATTGGTGGGGTCACACGTTCGGTTCGAGGCCCATTTAGCGACTCTGGAGCTCAAAACGTGTCTAGAGTTTTGGCCGCCTCCACCGGTCTTTTGGCCCACTGTGCGGTAGGCAAGTAGGCAAACACTCGAGCCGAACGGTCTGCCTACCTGCTTCCGCCGGGTCAGAGAGAGAGACAGACAGACAGACAGAGAAGGAAAGTCATGTAGAGAAGCGTGCTGTCGGGCGAACATTTCCGAGAGAGAGGGCGCTCTTAACCCGTTCCGACAGCGTCCTGGGCCCCACCGCGAGAGGGGGGAGGGGGAGGGGAGGGGCGTTGTCCGAGAGGTAAAGTTTCCTTTCTTCCGGTTCCCCTCGTGCCGGGTACGGCACGGGGCGCCGCGGACACTCGACTTGGAGAGAGAGAGAGAGGGAGAGGGAGAGAGAGAGAGAGAGGGAGAGAGAGAGAGAGAGAGAGAGAGAGAGAGAGAGAGAGAGGGCGGAGATTTTGTGTGTGAGAGTGTGTGTGTGTGTGTGTCGTCTGCATGGGGGCCGTGGTTTTCCGAACCTTCTGCACGAGTAGTCGAAGAAGAAAAGACCCCTCCCGGGGGCGTACCACCGCCTAGGAGCGAGAGAGACAGGGCGACGAAATGGGCGCCCTGGGCGGTGCACAGTGGGCCGGAAGACCAGTAGAGGTGGCTAAAACTCTAGACGCGTTTTGAGCTTCGGAGTCCCTAAATGGGACTCGAACCAACGTGTGGCCCCACCAATGGATTGCTCCCCGAACGAAGAATCCATTGGTGGGGTCACACGTTCAGTTCGAGTCCCATTCAGCGACTGTGGAGCCCAAAACGCGTCTGGAGTTCTGGCCGCCTCCACCGGCCTTCTTGCCCACTGCGCAGCAGTGCCTTCGGCTAGTTCGGATTAGAACCACCAGGCGGCCGCTGCGCTCGCCAAACTGGCCGACCGCTACAAGCGCTAGGAGCGCTGGAAGCTGGAATGCGGCTCAACTCCGCCACAGATGAAACTCGACACCAAAGGCTGCCAAAGGCCCACCCGGCGGCCAACGACGCACCGCCAGGGGAGAGAAAAAAAAATGGAGGCCGGTATTTGAACCCGGGCCGGCGAGGCTTACCGTTGAGCACGTGCACGGCCACGCTGGTGCCGGCCAGGCTGCCAACCGAGCAGCTGTAGTTCCCCGAGTCCTTCTTCTGGGCGTGGCGGAGCGTCAGCGTGGACACCACCCTGCCGTTTAGGGTGCTGGCGTTGGTGCTGCAAGCAGAGTGCCAAAAAATTAGCGCAATGTCCATTTTTTAATTTTTTTTTTGAAAAATCCTTGAGTGTTTGCACGGAGAAAACCTTAAAAACCATTAAAGGCCTTACAAAGAAAATCAGCTTGTTAAAACAAAGTATTTTCAGCACACATACGCTTACTAAGAAACTTTACGAACTATTTCTTCGTATAACAAAGTGAATTATGCTCAAAATACAAAAAAAGGTTTTAGGCGTGGCAGCTAGACTGTGACCGACGCCCAGGTTCGTGTTTCTCTCACTTTTTCCAGTGTGCCGCCCCACAATGGCTTGGACACACGGCCAGACACGGCCCTCCCAGAGTCCCAGATAGGGCATGACTTTCTCATACTCGAACAACTCGGCGGGGGCACGTTCGGACCAACTTTTCAAAGGCGGCGACCACGTCACTCTCACTTCCTGCCTCTCTCGTTCTTCTCTGATGGCACACGCACCGCGATAGGGGGAGAAGAGGACAGAGAGAGAGAGAGAGAGAGAGAGGGAGAGAGAGAGAGAGAGAGAGAGAGAGAGAGAGAGAGAGAGAGAGAGAGAGAGAGAGAGAGCGCTATACATGTACACATGAAACCTTTCGCAGTTTGAGCGAAAAACCGGTTCAACAATTGCACCAAGGTGGTCTCTGTCTTTTCCCCGAAGGCAAGGCAGCCGCCGGTCGGTGCTGGCCGACCGCTCGTGGGTACGTCAGGACGTCAGGGCGGGGGCAGCCGACGTCGGGGCGGACGTCGACGGGAACGCGATAACCGTCACGTCGCCGGATTAAAACTGGATTAAAACGAGTGGGAACAGCCCACTTCCATCCACCGGACTCGCGTCAGCGATAAGTCGACGGTCGCAAAGCACGCTCAGGGCAATGAGAAATAAAAATCACTAATGAGAAACTCGGCAATTTTACTACAAAAACATTAAAAAGCATTTTTGTTTAGAAAAAGTTGTTTTTTTTTTGTGGAGGAAGGCATTGCTGTTGCCGTTACTCTACTCCCGTCGATGAATGAAAGTAGTTCGGACACCGACGGTGCTCCGAATCTCCTCCACTACCCTGAGTCTCCAGATGCACTCGGGGCACACACAACCCCCGGGGGGGGGAGAGGAGGAGGGGAGGGGGGGGGGGGGGGGGAAGGGGAAAGGGGGGAGGGGGAGGGGGGGGGGGGGGGGGTAGGATGAGGAGGGGGAGGGGGGGGGGGGGGACCCGACAAAAGACGGCGGAGCAAACAAAAGGAAACAACAAAGAAGAACCAAACACCGGAGGCCAAGGAAATTTTAAAGTGGCGGAAAACTTGGCCCGGAAGCACAGCTTTCCCCGCTTTTCCTGCGTGTGCCCCGACCTGCCGGCTTGCCACCGCGAGTCAAGCCTCCCGCTTCAAATAAATAACTGCAACAATGCGTCTCCGCCTTTTATTCGAGTTGAAGCCCCCCCCCACCTCCTTCCTGATTATGTCTTCATTTGCACGTCGAGGAGGAAACGGCTTCTGAATCACCCGGCCGAGCATTCCCGTTTTTTCCTTTTCTTCTTCCAGCACTGCAGGTTGTAATCCCTGTCTTTGACTCGGGTTCAACTTCACGACGAGGTGAAGGACCTTTAAAAAATCCCCCAAGCTTGCGAGGAGTGCCCTCACCAATTTCTTAGCGTTTCACAACGAGAGAAAGAAAATACTGCTCCGACAGTGTTCGAACCCGCGGGGCCGTAGAGGCTTTGTCCAATCCGCGGGGAGGGGGAGGCGGGCCCTTCGCTGATGGACCGATTGAACTCCATTTATTTTCCGCAATTAGTCGTTTTCTCATGCAGAGCGAATGAATAAGCAAACGAACTGCTGTTTTGCATAAAGACAAGCAGTGTGACATTCAGGACGGCGCCGAGGCGCGACACGATGTGGACGGGGGGTAGGGGGTGTCCCCGTGGAGGGCAGACCATTGTGTCTGCGTTTACTTGGCTATTTTCATTACTTCCAATCGGCCTCTCCCGCCCCAGACGCGGGCCGCCACTAAAAGAAACACGAAAAGAGAGCGCAAAATGTCGACCGACCGACGACGGCGCTCCACTTTTCTTTTCAGACGGTACTTTTACGCGGCCGAAACACGTTTCTTTGTCCAGTTACTTTGCGCGTTGACCGGAGGCGGCAGCGTACACACAGGTGGCCGCACAGCCAGTTCGATCACGGATGCCTTGGTGTCCGAGGCTGTGTGGACGCCCCGCCGACGTGACTTGCGTGGCAATTTTTTTTTTTTCTTCTCTTTTCTCTCCCTCTCTCTCTCTCTCTCTCTCTCTCTCTCTCTCTCTCTCTCTCCTCTCTCTCTCTCTCTCTTCTGTCCTCCAGCTCTCTCTCTCACCTGTAGCCCTGTACTGTGAGCGCTATGGGTCCCCGGGCGCCTCTCGCGGTGATATTGGGGCCTTCATAAGCCACTGAACCGCACGGAATGAGGACAAACCAACAAAAAAAGAGTCCGGCGCACAGTGGGCCAGAAGACCAGTGCAGGCGGCCAAAACTCTAGACGCGTTTTGAGCTCCAAAGTCGCTGATCAGGACTCGAACCGAACGTGTGACCCCACCAATGGGTTGCTCTCCGAACGAGGAGTTCATTGGTGGGGTCACACGTTCGGTTCGAGTCCCATTTAGCGACTCTGCAGCTCAAAACGCGTCCGGGATTTTTGCCGCCTCACCGGTCCTCTGGCCCACTGCCCGACGTGGTGGGTATTCGAACCCACGTCCTCGCGACCCTCCTTACCTGACGCCCGCGCTGAGGGGCTGCCGGCCCCGACTCCAGTGCACCGTGTCTCCGGGGCCCTCCAACTGCCCCGCCAGGCAGGTGAGCTCCACCGCGGAGCCCGCCTTGTAGTAGCGCTCCGACACGGGGTGCATGTTCTCGTCCACGATCTGCACGTCCGGCGCTGCAACAGAGGAAAAGGAAGACTGTCATTGGACGAGCCACAAGGGCCGGAAGACCGGTGGAGGTGGCCAAAACTCTAGATGCGTTTTGAGCTCCAGAGTCGCGAAACATGACTCGAACCGAACGTGTGACCCCACCAATGGATTCCTCGTTCGGAGAGCAATCCATTGGTGGGGTCACACGTTCGGTTCGAGTCCCGTTTAGCGAGTCCCATCTCACGGTTATGACGTCACACTCGTAGCAGTGCGTAGCAGTGTAGGCGACGGCAGGGAGGCGCAGGGGGCACTGGGTGCACAGGGGGGCAGGGCAGACCGGGGGCAGACCGATCGGCAGGAATGAAGACTAATGCTAGGTCCCCAAGGAGGCGCCAGGTCTGGGAGGAGCAGCCCTTTTCATCAGGGGCAGACGGACAGGCAGACAGGGCAGACAGTGAAAAAAAAAAAGATTTTTGGTTTGTTCAAAAAAGGGGAAAACAAACTAGCAAATTTTGAGTTTCCACTTTGTTCTTTGAGGGGTCGCTCTGCTGGGGCGGTCCCTCCTTGGCACAACTTGCGCACATACACTCTCTCTCTCTCTCTCTCTCTCTCTCTCTCTCCCCTCTCTCTCTCTCTCTCTCTCTCTCTCTCTCTCTCTCCCTCTCTCTCTCTCTCTCTCCCTCCCGCAACACACTGGTGGTCTCGGGTCGTTGCTCGTCGCCAGGCGTGCTAGCCGTGCCAAGCCCTAATGCTACACCCTCGACCTCCCGAATGCAGATTTCTTTCCCAGCCCCTTCATTTACGCAAAACTATCTTCTGTCGACCCTGCTCGCCCCCCTCTCTCCCCGGCCCCTGCCGCCGCCCCTGCCGCCGCCCCTGCCGCCCCTGCCCCTGCGTCCAGCGGGTAGTATTTTGGACGCCGTCCAAAGTGTTCGGCCCGACCTTCGCACGCCGTCCGGCCGCGAAGCGACGCCCCGCCCGAAGGACCCGAAGGACCCGAAGCCAAGCGCACAGTGGGCCAGAAGGCCGGTGGAGGCGGCCAAAACTCTACGCGTTTTGAGCTCCAGAGTCGCTAAATGGGACTCGAACCGAACGTGCGACCCCACCAATGGATTCCTCGTTCGGAGAGCAATCCATTGGTGGGGTCACACGTTCGGTTCGAGTCCTGTTTAGCGACTCTGGAGCTCAAAACGCGTCTAGAGTTTCGGCCGCTTCCACCGGTCTTCTGGCCCACCGTGCGCCCCAGGACCGCCTTCTTATCCCGGGCGACGCGACGGCGGAGCGCACAATTCGTTTCGCTGCCGGCCGATTCCGCAGTGTGTCCGCCTCTCTCGCACCCATGGCGCGTCCCGCGAGGGTGCGACAGAGACACGGCCAATAACTCGCGTAATTTCCGCGCCGAAAGTTTGAGGCGAAACTCGGCCGAGTGTCGCGCTTTGTTTAACAGTGTGGGGTGCGGTTTAATTTTATTTTTGCAGTGCGGGACTGTTGGGATGGCCGCGCGACCAACTCCCCCGCGCCGTCGGCCGCCGCAGTGACGGTACACCAGGAAAATGAAAGTAAAAAATGAAGCCGCCGCCGGGAGTTGAACCCTCCCTCTCGCCCTCGCCACCTGCAAGGCAATTGCAGGGCAAACCCGGCCCTTATCCAGACGTCAATCTAACGCCAAGACCGCCAGACCAGCAAGACGCCCTGCCGGGTCTGCTGGCGGCTTGGCTGGCACACAGTGGGCCAGAAGACCGGTGGAGGCGGCCAAAACACCAGACGCGTTTTGAGCTCCACAGTCGCTTAATGGGACTCGAACCGAACGTGTGACCCCACCAATGGATTGCTCTCCGAACGAGGAATCCATTGGTGGGGTCACACGTTCGGTTTTGAGTCCTGTTAAGCGACTCTGGAGCTCAAAACGCGTGTAGAGTTTTGTCCGCCTCCACCGGTCTTCTGGCCCACTGTGTGGCGGCTTGGCTGGGTGGCCGCGGGGCGGCCTGGACGGGCTGCCATTTGTCACACCTAAACGGGGCTGCAGGCCGATCCAAGACCGTTCTTTCTCGCTCTGTCTCTCTCGCACCGCCTCGGCACGCCCCGCGAGTGCGAGAGAGACAGCCTGCGGCCCCGCCAGCCCCCGCGGTGCATGGCGGACTTTGCGTCGTCTGCTTCATCACCCCGACCTTCCCACGCAGTCGCGCTGTCTCTCTCGCACAGCAGCGGGGCGGCCGATGAGTGCGAGAGAGACAGCGACGAAAGCGGGCCTAATTACGCACTGTTAGGGAAGGCCCTCTGGGCCGTCACCGATGTGACAGGTGAGACGGATGGGGAGGGAAGACCCCGAGAGAGAGGGAGAGAGAGAAGGCCTCCTTGCCGGCGGATCTAATCGGCACCCTCGTCAACCACAACAAGGTCCAACAAACAATGCCACATTTTGTTCGGGTGTGTTCCGTGTCTTTTCCTAAATTTTGACCCGCTATTATAATATTTAATAGTCAGTTTTGTCCGCCTCTACCGGTCTTCTGGCCCACTGTGCACCACCTCCCCCTCCCCTCTATCCGTCTTCAACTCGGCGCCCCCCTCCCCCCTTTTCCCGGAGCCCTCCGTGTCCACATTGGTCCAATTGGAATTCTCGGGCGGCTCCTGGAGGCAAACCGCGAGGCGCACGAGGCGGGGCTGGCCGGGCGCCACGGGCACCATGGACTGGCAGAGGAGCGAGGCGCTCACGAGGAATTCGAGAGGCATTCCCCGCCGGGCCCTGCCGGCACTCCCATCCATTAGACACGCATTACTTGGCCGCCCCGCCCCGCCCCCTTCTTTGACTCACTTTCGACCCTTCCAAGGTGGAATCATAATATTACCACTGAGGTGCGTGTTCGTCAAGAAAAAACAAACACAACCAAAGAACCGCTCTTCATCCACACATAAAAAAAAAGAAAACAGTACAAATTAAAAAAAAAAAACTTGAGAGGGACTTGAACCCAGGATCTTTCCGTCACCCCAAAACGCAGTGCATTTAAAAGATGACAGTAAAACAAATTGAGCAGGACTCGACCTCAAAACCTACCCCTCTACCGAAAAACCTAATACAGTTAAAAAAAAAAAAACCTGAGCGGGATTTGAACCCGGAACCTACCCGTGACCCTGAGGTTGACGATCCTGGCCAGCAGGGGGTGCGTGGTGACCTGGCACTCGTAGCGGCCCTGGTCGCGCAGCGTCACCGGCGAGATCTCGAGACGCCAGTCGTTGGGGTAGCGGAAGCGCAGGGCGAGCCGCTGGTCCGACGAGTACGTGGCGCCGCCCACGGTAAGCAGGTGCATCTGATCGCCGCGCCGGTGCACCCACGTCACCTGCAACACCAGCAACAACGAATAAAGAATAATTTTTAAAAAATAATTTTTTGAAATTTTGAAAAATAAGTGGTGGGATTTGAACCCGCGAAGTTCTGTCTGTAGAGCACCCGCGCTATCCACTCTGCTACCGAGCTCCGATTCACACGGATAGGCCGTCCGGTACGCCACTAGCATATTCATTGGCAATCAAAGAAAGTTGCTACGCAGCGCCTCTGCATAAAAATATTTGATCTGGTGATGAAGCCGTTCTGTGGGCGCGCGGTCTGAGCAGGTAGCCCGACTTCGACCTCGTGGACTCGTTTTAATTTTTTCGAATTTTTTCGCAAGTACCGACCATCTTTTAGCCCGCGGCGGGTTGTGCCTAGGGGCTGCAAAGATAACGCCGCGCTCTAAAAATTAAGTAGTGTACTGAGGATTCAAGGCGCAAAACGACGCCGAAAGATACGAGATGAGAAGCCCAAGGACGTGCGTAGCCGGCCCGATCCGGCTGCACAGTGGGCCAGAAGACCGGCGTGGGAGCGGTCAAAATCCCGGACGCGTTTTGAGCTCCAAAGTCGCTAAATGGGACTCGAACCGAGGCTGTGACCCTACCAATGGACTGCTCTCCGAACGAGGAATCCATTGGTGGGGGTTACACGTTCGGTTGGAATCCTGTTAAGCGACTCTGGAGCTCAAAACACGTCTAGAGTTTTGGCCGCCGGTGCCGGTCTTCTGGCCCACTTTGAGCTTGCCGTGGGATCAAACCCACGCTGCACCGCAGAAACACATTTTGGCGAAAAAAAACAAGGGCGAGATATTTCTCCGGAACAAAAAGCTAACGAAGAGAGGGCAGCGGCCCCTTCGAGCCCCTCTGGAGTCTGGGGGCACAGAGCAACGCCAGTCCATTTTGCCGCTGCAATGCCTCAGCAGGCAAACCCTTCAAGGCAAACCCTTCCAGGGAAACCCTTCAAGGGAAACCCTTCAAGGCTTCCTTGAGCCGGCCGGCCGGCCCAGTGCACGCACTGGCTGCCTGGCTGCCCTGCCTGGCCGCCTCCAGGGAAATACGTCTCGAGGCGGCAAGCCGGGGCTGGCAGCCCTTGGGCAGCCCTTCACAGCACTGCAACTGGGTTACTGTGACGGGACGCTGTGTCAGTGTGTCACACATGCCGTACTATCGAGACAGAAAAAAAAAACACAACAAAAGCGCGTCATTCGAACCCGGGACCGCGTGCGCGAACCCCCACCGCCCCGGACAGAAAAACGGACCGAATAAATACATCCTACTCATAGAGAGAGAGAGAGAGAGAGAGAGAGAGAGAGAGAGAGAGAGAGAGAGAGAGAGAGAGAGAGAGAGAGCGCACGGACATTAATTTGGGAGTTAAGACGCCAAGCCGAAGGCATTCCTTCGGTTGTGCTCCGAAGCCTCCGCTGTCGGTGGTCCCAAATATATCTCTGCGTCATTATGCACGAGCACAATCCGCGACCCCTCTCTGTTGGCCGGACTGCACTAAGTCCCGTCCGAATGGTGAATAAGACGAGACTCCGCAAAGAAGCGCATGCTGGACCCGCCACAGTGGGCCAGAAGACCGTCGCCAGCGGCCAAAACTCTAGACGCGTCTTGAGCTCCAGAGTCGCTAAATGGGGCTCGAACCGAACGTGTGACCCCACCAATGGATTCCTCGTTCGGAGAGCAATCCATTGGCGGGGTCACACGATCGGTTCGAGTACCGTGTAGCGACTCTGGAGCTCGAAACGCGTCGCGTCGTCACTGCCCGGCAGCGAGCTTCGCAAGCCAAACAGGGTTATGGCAGCACCGATCGGGCGGGAATACAATTAGTCGCTGTTTATCTTCCAGACGGGAGTAACGAGTAATTGAAGCCCAATCACCGGCCCATCTCCCGGACGTAATGACCTTTCAAACGACGAGGCCGGCGTGTCAACAAAAACAAAAACAACACCAACAACACTTTTGCAGGCGGAGGTGAAGAAGAAGAAGAAGAAGAAGAAGAAGAAGAAGAAGAAGAAGAAGAAGAAGAAGAAGAAGAAGAAGAAGAAGAAGAAGAAGAAGAAGAAGAAGAAAGAAAAAGGAGGAGCTAGACAGTGACGACTGCAAAAGCGGCGGCGAAACAAAAGACGGCTGTCATCGGCCGACCGGCCATTTATGGACTCATCTTGCTTCCTGTCGCGTGTCCGCATTGACGGGCCCCACAGTGGAGGACACAAACACGGGCAAAAAGGGAGGCTTTGCGCTGCGGGGAAAAAATATTGAAATCGCGGCCGAGCGGCACACATGCCCTCTTACTTTTTACGAGAAGAGGTGCGGTGGGGCCCGCCCCGCCCCGCCCCGCCCCGCCCCGCCCCGCCCCGCCCCGCCCCGCCCGGGATAGGGAAAGTTACCCGTACGTGAACTTGGCCCAAGTTTTGCCGCCACATGCGACCCGACTGCGGGAGCGCGCCGCCGGGGCGCGAACCCGCGCGTCCGCGAACCGCGAGGCCGCCGCGAAGCGATTCAATTGGGGAAATCTGAAAACGTGGTTCGCCGCGCCCACCCTGGCAGCCGCAGTGCTGCCACACGCACGCACCATACAGTGGGCCAGAAGACCGGTGGAGGCGGCCAAAACTCTAGACGCGTCTTGAGCTCCAGAGTCGCTAAATGGGACTTGAACCGAACGTGTGACCCCACCAATAGATTGCTCTCCGAACGAGCAATCCATCGGTGGGGTCACACGTTCGGTTCGAGTCCTGCTTAGCGACTCTGGAGCTCAAAACGCGTCCGGAGTTTTGGCTGCCTCCACCGGTCTTCTGGCCCACTGTGCACTCCCACGATGGTGTCGAAAGGGTTGCCAACCTCAGCCAGACCACCAGTTGTTGCCTAGTAGGCAGGCGGGGGTTGGCAACCCTTTCCACACTAGTGCATCGTGGGAGTTTTTGGCCACTTATTTGGCAACACTGGCGCCCACACTGGCCGGCCACCGCCCCTGGAGCGCGCTGCCGCGCTGCACAACTATAAACTGTAGACGCGTTTTGCTGCTCTCGAGTCCCGAGTCTCGGGGGGAGGTTTTACGCCGAGGGCTAGAGTGGTGGCGGTGGCGGCGGTCCGAGACAGGGCCAAGAACCCCAGGCCAACACAGTTTCACAGTGGCTATTCGCTTGTAATTTTCAATTTCTCCTGGTAAGCTTTGACTACTTGTAGTGGCGTGCCGTGGGTGTGCTTGGGCTTGTGCTTGGGTCGGCGGTCTCTGAATGGACCCAGCCCCCGCACTCCGCACTGCTCAGCCATAAGAAATCGATGAAGCCTTCTGGAACAATAAAGGCCCTGGAATTCCTTTGCTTCTCGGGGGGTGTACACTCAAGGCAATCAGTTCTAGAGAGAGGCCTTCAGAAAAAAAGGCAAAAAGCAAAACAAAAAAAAATTGACGTGAATGTTTTTCCAAGTCTGGGATTTGAACCCGGGTCCGGCAAAGATGACGGAATGGACGGGGCAGTGTAGTGAACGGAGACAGTAAGATGGCAGCCGTGTCAACCAGGCCCGTCCGGGACGCCCGGAATCCAATAATCCCCCGATCCCTGATCCAGGGATGTGCGTGTGTGAGTGTGAGGGGGTTGAATGCGTCTGTGTGAGAGAGAGTCTGTCTGTTTGTGAGTACCCTTTGCCGGACCGCGGGCCTTTCCGCGAACGACGGGCCAATTTTCGCCTGTGGAAACGGTAAATAAATAAATAAATCCATTCATGACGAGCAGGGGAAATGACACACGCCGAGTTTCACACAATCCAATTCTGCGGTTGTTTTGCGTTCGCGCGAAGCGTCAGGCGGCGGTCTGATTCCGAGCGACGCTCCGTCTCTCTCGCACCTCCGCACGGAAGCCCGAGTGCGAGAGAGACATGCGAGCGCTGCGTGAGGATCAGCGAAGAGACTTCCAAGTATTACCTTAGCCTCTCTCTCTTCGATTCCCGGCTGCCTGCGCACAGTGGGCCAGAAGACCGGTGGAGGCGGACTCCAGACGCGTTTTGAGCTCCAGAGTCGCTAAATAGGCCTCGAACCGAACGTGTGACCCCACCAATGGATTGCTCTCCGAATGAGGAATCCATTGGTACGGTCACGTTCGGTTCGAGTCCCATTTAGCGACTCTGGAGCTCAAAACGCGTCCGGGATTTTGTCCGCCTCTACCGGTCTTCTGGCCCACTGCGCTGCGGCCTGATTTCGCTCTGTCCCTCTCGCACTCACGGGGCGTCCCGCAGGAGAGCGAGAGAGACAGAGCGACGACGCACTGCTTGCTGGCTCTGCTGGCGCCGCTTTGCTGCAGCAGTGCCATGCAAACACTGTCCCTTGATCCATTGCGAGAAAAGGAACGCGGTTTTGTTTGTTTGTTGTGTGTGTCTGTGTGTGTCCACACTGCAACACAGACAGCAACACAAACTCGCGGGCCAGCCAGCGAGCGATTAGACGGCCGAGTGCCCGTCAAAGGGATAAAGTACCCGCAAAGAAGGGCACGCGTCTTCCCGCCCGAAAAGCTGCGCAGCCGGCGTCGCAGGCTTCGCGACGCCGTAGCGCATTTGGATGCGGCGCCGGTTTTCTAAGTGTGAAACTCGGGTTCGATTCCCACCAAAAGTTCTCCCTTTTTTTCAGTATAAGGTGCTGCAGCATATGGGCCCTGCAGTTGCATGCGATGTGCGTTTCTAAAGTGACAGCCTCGGGTTCAATTCCCACCTTTTTTTTTTGTTTTTTTTTTTAAAGTGATTGGTACTGACCGTCTTGTCCTGCAGCATGCCGACCCTGCAGTTGAGCGTGACGGCGCTGCCGACGCGGGCCGTGGCGTTGTGGGGCCCGGCGCCGTCCTCGAAGTAGGGCCCGAAGTGGCCCTGCGCCGAGTGCATGTGCTTCTTGAGGCCGGGCGGCGGCAGCTGCGCCGAGGGCCCCGCGCCCGCGCCGGGCCGCTGCACGAAGCCGATGGCCACGATGGAGGCCGTGGTGGCAGCGGCGGGCTGCGGCTCCAGCTCGGAGGACACGTTGTAGGCGAAGGGGTTGGCGGGCCGCTGCAGTGGAGGCACCTGCGCCGACGACGCCGGCGTCGCGGGCTCCCCGATGAGCGGCTGGCTGTCTCCGTGCGCCGCGTCCGCGCTCGGCGACGCCGCCAGGGACGCCAGCGAGGCCAGCGACGCCGCGGTGGCGGGCGCCGTGGCCGCCGGGGAGGCCGCCGACAGCGCGTCGTCGTCCACGTCCACCAGGTTGCCGGCGACGTCCTCGGGCGACGACGGCGGCGTCAACGGCGTCGTGTCGTTGTCTGCAACAAACCAGCGCCGCGGTTCAGACACGTGGACTCGGCGGACCTGCTCACCTTTTTCCAATTAACTTTTTGGCATTGGACGTTATTTTTGCATTCTGTAAACGGCTAGAGATGCGGAAACAACGTGCACCGCAATTTTTTCCTTCCGAAAGCACCGGACTTCTTCTGAAGCCCCTGCGGATGTGAGGGTAGGCAACACGAGGACAGCCGTGCGCGCAAGCGAGGCGGTGGCCTACCTCGCCGGGCGGGCGCAGCACAGTCAGTGGGCCAGAAGACCGGCGCAGGCGGCCAAAACTCTAGACGCGTTTAGAGCTTCAGAGCCGCTAACTGGGACTCGAACCGAACGTGTGACCCCACCAATGGATTCCTCGTTCGGAGGGCAATCCGTTGGTGGGGTCACACGATCGGTTCGAGTCCCATTTACCGACTCTGGAGCTCAAAACGCCGTCCGGGATTTTGACCGCCTCCGCCGGCCTTCTGGCCCACTGTGGGCCGGCCCCTTCCTTTATTCTGACTGGGCACCACCCCACTGCACCGGAAACAATGTTGGCAAGATATATCGAGTCAGGATAGGAAGGCTGTGATAAATTTGTCGGAACGGCCCGGCCGGCCCGGCGGCCCGAACGCACCCCGAAGCCTGCCGAAGCAGAACCGAACGCGACCGCCGGCATGCCGCCAGCATCGGGACACGATAACGGGGATTAAAAGAAAACAAGAACGCTGCGCCGAACCGGCCGAACACGCACACGGCAGTGCACGGCAGCACCGTCAGGTAGTACACCGCGCGCAATGTATTTTTTTCAACATTGTCCATCCATTTTTTTTTGCGTGCATCTCTGGCTCTGCATGTCCTGCACTCAGTCACTAAAAGGCAGGCAGAGATGTGATGGGCCATAAAGGGGGAGTAATGGTCGACAGCCTCTCTGTATTTCGCAGTGCAGCCAACCAGCCGGCCTGCCAGCCGACTGGCTCAACCTCTCAGAGACCGGCGTCGCACAGTGGGCCAGAAGACCGGTGGAGGCGGCCAAAACTCTAGACGCGTTTTGAGCTCCAGAGTCGCTAAATGGGACTCGAACCGAGCGTGTGACCCCACCAATGGATTCCTCGTTCGGAGAGCAATCCATTGGTGGGGTCACACGTTCGGTTCGAGTCCTGTTAAGCGACCCTGGAGCTCAAAACGCGTCTGTACTTTTGTACGCCTCCACCGGTCTTCTGGCCCACTGTGCGTCGTCCACCACGGCGGCACTGCCCAGTTTCCGACGAGCCCGTTCGAGGAGGGAGGACACAGTAAAGACCACACCGCACGTGTTTTCTGCCCTAGCCACCTTAAAAAAATACAATAATTAAAAGTTGATTTTTTTTGCAAAGTAAAGGTCTTTTTTCAGATCCTTTTTTTTTAAAGAAAGGAGAGTGCAGTCCGTCTGGTCAAGCAAAGCACTGTCCGATCGCAGCGCCGTCAATCTCTGCCAGCACGGCCCTTCTCTCTCTCTCTCTCTCTCTCTCTCTCTCTCTCTCTCTCTCTCTCTCTCTCTCTCTCTCTCCACAACAGACGCACCAACGAGCGCGTGGCATCGACAAACCCCACGGCGCGTAAAATCCCCGCCGGCCGACTGGAAAAGAGCAAAAGCATGCACAATGTCTGGACTGGCCCTGACACCCAATCAGAAACCGGCGGAGGAAAACGAAAAAAAAGGAAGAAACCGTCGGTGTTTGAACCCGCGACCGCACAATCATTATCTTCCTTCTGGCGCAGACGCCGGCGCCGTCACGCGCGCTGACCGTGTAAGGGCCCCATCCTGCAGGATAAGCCAGCACCTGCCGTAATCCCCCAAGTCCCGCACATATGTCCCGGACAACAATCCCCTCCCGGAATGAGCGGGGGGGGGGGAGGGGGGGGGGTTTCCTGCTGACATTTGCCATTCCCGCGGTATACACCGAGAGCCCCCGATCATCCTTCGGGATCCTCCCTCCCGGGACTCGGGACCCATACACCGTGACGGAGTGAGGCGCCGCCACCGGCATCTGTCTTACCTGGTTGCTTGCCGGCCTTGCCGCGCGGCATGGCGGCGGGAGGGGGAAAAATGGGGCGCGCTTCGGTGCCGCGCTGCACAGTGGGCCAGAAGACCGGTGGAGGCGGCCGAAACTCTAGACGCGTTTTGAGCTCCAGAGTCGCTAAATGGGACTCGAACCGAACGTGTGACCCCACCAATGGATTGCTCTCCGAACGAGGAATCCATTGGTGGGGTCGCGCGTCCGATTCGAGCCCCATTTGACGAGTCGTCGCCAACTGCGGCAGTGCGGAGACTACACTCCAAATCCAGGGTGTCTAGAAACTACACGCCTTAGGCGTATGCCACAGAAATGGAACTGCCTTAAGGCGCCTTGATTCTACACGCCAAAGGCGTATACCCCATTGAGCACCTTTTGCAGATAGAAGTTAGCATGTGAGCACCATTGGTCGAAGGAAAGGTGCGTGCATTGTACACACCCTGGATCATAGGCACTGAGCTCAACAGGACTCAAGGTGCGTAGAATGTAAACACCCTTTAAGGCCTCGGTAGGCATGGCCTCGGCCAAGGGCGGTGTTTGCATTCAACGCACCTAGAGTCCTGTTGAGCTCAGTGCCTATGATCCAGGGTGTGTACAATGCACGCACCTTTCCTTCGACCAATGGTGCTCACATGCTAATTTCTATCTGCAAAAGGTGCTCAATGGGGTATACGCCTTTGGCGTGTAGAATCAAGGCGCCTTAAGGCAGTTCCATTTCTGTGGCATACGCGTAAGGCGTATAGTTTCTAGACACCCTGGATTTGGAGTGTAGTGACTGCGGCGTCAGCGCGCGGATCACAAGGCCCGTCCGTCACGGTTGGCCACACTGCTCGCCATTAGAACGATTAGACGCGAATAGCCGCACGCTCAATTTGGCCGCCGCAAAGTGAATATTTGGCACGCAGTCGCGATGACAACCTAAAAATGGCCTCACTTTGCCGCCGCTCTGCGTCGCAGAACGTTGCCAACTTTCCGCGGCGCGACCGAGCGATTCCTAATTATCACTCTGGCGCCACCATCGGTGGTAATTGGATGCATGACGAGCGATTGTTGATTTATCCACCGTCGGAAGGACTGCGTCCGATCCCGTGGCCGCGAAAAGCTTCCCTCAACGCCCTGGTATTTTTCAGACCCTACTCTTTCATGTCCCGCCTTTGACCTGAATGATCTTGGCACAACCTCACAAATTTGGTCAAAAAGTGATTAAATCTCAGAAAGTAGACGTTTTTTGCTGACTTGGGGCGGCCAATCTAGCTACCGTCAAACGCCTCCCTCAACGTCCAAGTTACGCGATACTCAAATTAATTTTCAAAAAAAACTTTCCCAGTGGCCACTGCGATGACACCAAGACGGGGGGGGGGACAGTGCAGGTGGAGGGGCATTGGAAACTGGCGCGGGGCCAGAGGACATTTCCGCACTCGTAATGAAAGGGGGGCGGGGCCACGCCACTGTAGCCACTGCAGCCACGGCGTGGACGGACCGACGAAACCCAATGTGACAGACGGACAGACGAGGCGCGGGGCCACCACACTGCGAGAAGAAAGACTCCCACAAAGCAACAAACTACTCCAAAAATTCTGTACATCAAAATTAATGGACAGCCTTGAATTCTAGACAAATCTCTTCAAACTTCCTAAAGTTCAGACGAATTTTTTTTTTAAAGAAAACAAGTAACAATTACATCGAAATGCAAGGAAATCCAGGTTTTAATAAGCTGAAGTTCATCCAAAATTCGTGAGGAATTCAAAAATTTCGAGTGGCTTCCGTATAGGGCAACCCGAGCGCGGCACAGTGGGCCAGAAGACCGGTGGAGGCGGCCAAAACTCTAGACGCGTTTTGAGCTCCAGAGTCGCTAAACAGGACTCGAACCGAACGTGTGACCCCACCAATGGATTCCTCGTCCGGAGAGCAATCCATTGGTGGGGTCACACGTTCGGTTCGAGGCCCATTTAGCGACTCTGGAGCTCAAAACGTGTCTAGAGTTTTGGCCGCCTCCACCGGTCTTCCGGCCCACTGTGCGTGGCAACCTAACCTAGCGCAACGCGAGGTCGCCTAGGCAAACTTGGGGCGGACGGGGTGGTCCGGAAGGGCGGTGGGTGGAAAGGGCAGACCCCTATTCCAATTACATCTCAATCCATCAGACCGCCGCCCCGCCGCCGCGCTGCCTTGGCGGTTCCGCGCGGTGCCGCGGGATGTCGCTCAGCTGGCATTAATTCTCGATAAACAATCCGAAGCCGCACGCCAATTAGCTTTAAAATTTGGACCACTTTGCGGGGCCGCGCTACGCTTGCCGTTTAATCCCGATTCCCGCTGGAAAAAAAAAATGGCTCCGGGTGGGGGTCGAACCACGGACCCTGGGAACCGAGTTCGACGCATTAGCGCCTTCGGCTAGGTTGCGCCGCCAGTCGACGGGCGAGACAGGCGGTGAAAATGAACAGCAGGGTCGCAGGGTGCACAGCACGCGTGGCGGACACGTTGTTCATCACCTTGCAGTGCTTGCAGCAGGCAGGCCGGCCAGGCGACGAAGCTTAATGCCTGAATGATCCAGCAGAGGTTAGGTCACGCCATCCCTCACCCGCTCCATCCAATCCGCTCTGCTTGATTAACGAGGCAGCTAATGGCACACAAGCCGTCATCTTGATGAGCGGATCGCTCACAAACACGATCAATAATAAAGAGACAATTAGAGTGACAGAGAGAGACGCACCGGCTCCTCCTTTCAGCGGGGACCACGTGACCCCACCATTCGATTCCTCGTTCCGAGGGCAATCCATCGGTACCCTCGAGTGTTCGATTCGATTCCCGTTCGGGTTATTGAGAGCTCCCACACTGCGCATGCATTGCTCTTCGTGCTGCCTCACTCACTCCCACACCCACCCCATTTGCAGCCAGCCGTCTCACTGGGCCAGAAGACCGGTGGAGGCGGACAAAACTCTATAGACGCGTTTTGAGCTCCAGAGTCGCTAAGGAGGACTCGAACCGAACGTGTGACCCCACCAATGGATTGCTCTCCGAACGAGGAATCCATTGGTGGGGTCACACGTTCGGTTCGAGTCCTCCTTAGCGACTCTGGAGCTCAAAACGGGGCTTGAGTTTTGGCCGCCTGCGCCGGTCTTCTGGCCCTCTGTGGCGTCTCTATTTCCAGCCCCGCCTTGCCGCCCTCGTCGCGAAGACACAAACAAAACAAGTGGGTCAGTAAGCGGTGGCGGTGGAGACGGTGGTTGCGGCGGCCCCGCGGGGCTGTTGGGGTGTGCTTGGCGGCGCAGCGCGGGGCTGCGGGGGCGTGGCCGTCCGCTTAAGGCGACCCGGGCGATGGCGTGCAGCAGCGGACCAGCTGCAACACCTCTCCCCGCCCTTGCTCCTTGGCCGAGCGCGTTAGCGCGTCCGTGTTCCGAGTAAAAGTTTCGGGTTCAACTCCCCGCGCTCACTAATTTTTTTTTCGTTTCCCTTTTCGTGCCGGAATTGTCATCTTCCGTTTCCTGGCGCTGCTACCGGGTAAGCCAGGTAGATAAGACTACCCGGCCGTCCGGAGCTTCCAAAGCTGTTTCCGACAGTCTCTCTCGCACCACCATGGGGCGCCCCGTGAGTGCGAGAGAGACGAAAAGGACGCTGCAGGCGCATCGCTTCGCCGGCTTGGTCGCTCCGCCACTTCGGGCCGCGCGTGGCGCCGTGGCACTGGAAACTTGGCGGAGGGAAACTGACCTTAATTGGCGGCCCTGAGACAAAGGCACGACACAGAGATCAGCGTGTCGTATTCCCTTTCGCCTTGGGCCTTCCAGTGTGCCTGCCTCGCCTTTGGGCCTGCAGGGGGCGTACACAGCGTGCACACCGTCAAAACATTTCCCGGAAGTTCGCGCCGAACGGAGCGTGTGACCCCACCAATGGATTCCTCGTTCGGAGAGCAATCCATTGGTGGGGTCACACGTCCGGTTCGAGTCCCATTTAGCGACTCTGGAGCTCAAAACGCGTCTCTAGTTTTGTCCTCCGCCGGTCTTCCGGCCCACTGTGCGCGGCACGCGGCTCCACTCGGAGAGAGATGCACTCTTACAGTGCCGGGCGCCGGGACAATCGCAGCAAGTTGGGCGCAAGTAGTTTGCCTGTAATTAATCGTGCAACTTGTTCAACTCGGTCGATACAGGTCGCAGCAGCCGGACCCGGCCCGAGGCGTACTACATCATTTGTACTCGGAAAGTTGGAACAATGAGAAGGGAGTTGGTTGTCCGGCCGACGGGGGGAGGGGGAGGGGGAGGGGGGTCTTCATTACGAACGAATTGTACGCACGCGCGCACACACACGGGCGCAAAACGCGCCCACATGTGGCGTGGACACACACACACACAGGGAGAGGCCGAAATTACTCCATCACAGACTACAGCAGAGTTTCGTCTTTACCCCGTTGTGCAATAAATCGAGTCGGGGCGGCGCGGCGAGCGAGGAAGGACTCTGCCAGGACTCTGCGGGGCGCCGACCGAAAAAGGACGCGCCTTCTGACGTGGCGGTCGACCTGCGGGGACTGTGCCTGCGCTGCCGTCCGTCGAAACTGCACGAGTCGCGAAGTTGGCAAGACTGCCCGTTGGTCCCAGTCCCAAAAAACCATGGATTGCATGGGATCCCATGACACAAATCCCATGACAGCGCACTAAAATCCCATGAGACTGCGGTTCAGCACCATGGACAAGCGGCATGCCATGCAAAATGGACGTCGTTTCCCATGGTGCAGGCCTAGCACCATGGGAGGACCTCCCCCATGATGTGAACTTTTCCATGGGTTCGGACTTCCCATGGCAAGGCAGTCCTGCTCGTGCGTTGAAGTCTCCGCCTAATTTTCAATTATAGGTCATATCATGTCAACGGTGCCCTCCAGACAAAATATGATTGCAAAATCGGATGAAGCGTCAAAAGTTTAGGGGGTTACAGTTCACCTGTGGAATGACTATATCCAGATCAGGCACTGATCTCATCATTTTGTGCTCACAAGGGACTCTGCCAAGGCAAGGAAGTGCTTCCCATGACTCACACTCCATGGTACCTTTCCCCATGAGTCGCAAGACACCATGAGAAGTTGTTCCAAAAATCACGGGGAATCGTTCCCATGGAAAGAATCGGCACATGGCATCCCATGCACCGCCATGGCTCATGGGATGCCCCATGGTTTTTTTGGACTGGGCGTCCAGTCCCCGACAGCTCGGCGGTCCACAGTGGGCCGGAAGGCCGGTGCAGGATGCTAAAGCTCTGGACGCGTTTTGAGCTCCAGAGTCGCTAAACGGGACTCGAACCGAACGTGTGACCCCACCAATGGATTGCTCTCCGAACGAGGAACCCATTGGTGGGGTCACACGTTCGGTTCGAGTCCCATTTAGCGACCCTGGAGCTCCAAACTATTCAAACCGCTTTGGCAGTGTGTCCTTTCTTCGGGACGTTTTTCTGCTGTCCCTGACCGCGACCCTGCAGCGACCGGCTGTGGTCCGCGATCCCTCTGGAAAAGGGTTCGCTGCATGAGAAGGCCTCCCGGTTATTTTGGCTCCGGTATTGTTTCTCTGTTTGTTGTTGTTTGCGTCTTTTCTTTTCGCGAATCGAAGACTTTGGCCCGGCCGGTTTCATACCGTCCGTCGTCGAGGACCGCTGGTGGAGATATATCCGATATTCCTCCAGACACACAGGCCGACGGACAGGCTGTCTCTCTCTCACTCTCTCTCTCTCTCTCTCTTTCTCTCTCTCTCTCTCTCTCTCTCTCTCTCTCTCTCTCTCTCTCTCTCTCTCTCTCTCTCTCTCGCTCTCTCACACACACGGCACTTGCTGGTCGTCCTTCGTTACGTCTCGCAGGGCTGCGCGGGGCACCGCGGGGCACCACCCTCGTCAAGGCCGAGGCCGTCGTCGTCGTGATCCTGGGCCGCGTTTCCCAATCAGCGCAGTTCAATATTCATGACGAAGCCGGCGAGCTGGCGGAGCTGCGCGGAGCTGCGCCGCCCCGACGGGGCTGGCAGCCACATTCCGCGGCCAAGTTTCTGATTCGCCATGATGCCTTCGAGGGCGCCAAGTAGTTGCGACATTTGACGCTAAACGTATGCCAACCGTGTTACGTTCCAACTCCCTCCCTCTCCTCTCTCTCTCCTCTCTCTCTCTCTCTCTCTCTCCTCTCTCTCTCTCTCCCGCCACACAGCCTCCTCGCAAATTTGGACGAACTGACGCCAACTCGGGGACGGGCAAAACCACCCCTGCTTTCGAAGAAAAAAAAACTGAACGTGTTCTGATGTCCCCCCCAAAAAAAACAACAACAAAAAACGGGGAATGACCGAAACAAAACAAGGGTAAGACGGCCTTGTGCTATCACGCGTCTGGACCGGGGCGGCTTATCGGGGCAAGGACGCTCACCTCTCTCTCTCTCTCTCTCTCTCTCTCTCTCTCTCTCCCTCTCTCTCCCTCTCTCTCTCTCTCTCTCTCTCCCTCTCTCTCTCTCTATATCTCTCTCTCTCTCCCAGCCTCCCGGGACGAGTCGGGAGGAGTCTCCATGGGGCCGCGGGGCCGCGTAAAACCGTTTTACGGGAACAGCAACCTTCCAGGGGGAGGGGAGGGGAGGGGAAGGAGGAGGGGAGGGGGAGGTTCAAGGGGGCCATCTGGCAATCAAACACCTGCCTCGCCCTTCTGCAGATGCAGAGGAGAACACGCCTTTGCATTCGCGTTGTAAAAACAAGGGGGGGGATCCACTGCGCGAAAGTGCGTGTTGGTTGCCACCATAAAAGAAGGGGAAAGGGGGAAAAACGGAGGGTGGGGTATTGAATTCGGGGGCGTGAAAAACTTGCAAAGCAAAGGCGAGAAAAAGAAGAGGAGAACGGAGGTTGCGGGTTCAATCCCAGCCTCTTCCCACATTTTTTTCTCTCTCCGAGGATGTGACGCTGCTTGTGGAGCCAGCCGAACAAGCCAACGAATTTACTCACTAATCCGTGCCGCAAAGTTGTGTATAACACGCACGAGGCAGAAACAAAAAAAAAAGAGATCCTCTGTTCGGTCGCAGCGTCTCGTGGACGCGCGCGCGCGTGTGTGTGTGTGTGTGTGCGTGTGTGCGTGTGTTTGCGTGCGTGTGTGTGCGTGTGCATGCGAGCGTGTGTGATTGTAAGGGGACCGTGTATCTTTCAATGAGCCTGCTGTGTGCAAGCACCGGCTAGGTTTCGCTGCCTTTCTTTTGCTGCTCCAGCGTGCTCCAGCGTGGTCCAGCAGCGTCCAGCGGCCACAATGTCCGACCACGCGTGGTCCCGGTGACCGGCAGTGCGCTGTCTGTGTGTGTGTGTGTGTGTGTGTGTGTGTGTGTTGTGTGTGACGTGAAAAAGAGGGGGCGAAAGAGTAGAAAAAAGGGTCGTGTTCATCAGGAAAGTTTTGTCCTCCCGCCGAGACACACCGGGTACCCCACCGAGAAACGCCAGCGGGATCCTGGATGAGTTCCCGCGGGAACGAACGGAACGAACATTCTGCCGTGACTTTAATCCCTGAAGGAAATTTGAAATTAGCGCGCCAAATCTGGCATCGGGGAGACGCTCTCCACCGGACGAGGTAGTCGTGGGTCCAGCGGCGCCAATGGTCACACAGTGGGCCAGAAGACCGGATGCGGTGGCTAAAATCATAGACAGGTTTTGAGCCCCAGTGTCGCCAAATGGGACTCGAACCGAACGTGTGACCCCACCAATGGATTGCTCTCCGAACGAGGAATCCATTGGTGGGGTCACACGTTCGGTTCGAGTCCCATTTGGCGACACTGGGCTCAAAACCTGTCTATGATTTTAGCCACCGCATCCGGTCTTCTGGCCCACTGCGCGCGGCTCTCCTCCTCGGGGACGCCGGCAGGGAAGCCCCGCCATCGAAGAGGCCTATCTATCCCGCGGGGGATCTCGGGAAATTAATTGACTTCCTGGCGAAGGGGGCCACCATGCCTCCCTTGTCATGTACTACAGTGGAGCGGATTAACAGCAACAAGCGTCATACTCCCTCTCTTGCCCTATCTCTTATCTCTCTTTGTCCTCCCCGTGTGTGTGTGTGTGTGTGTGTGTTGTGTGTGTGTTGTGTGTTGTGTGTGTGTGTGTGTGTGTGTGTGTGTGTGTGTCTACAGGGTGGAGAGGGACTCATTTGCGTATCAAAGCCAATGCACCACTGTCCCCCCAGTCTCCACGAAGGCCATCAACGCCTCTAGACTGCCCCGTGTGCTTACTTGGCGAGGCGGGCACGCCAAGGAGCATCGCACTGCATCTGTCTCTCTCGCACTTGCTACCAGCGCACGCCGGGGGCGCTCCCCGTGAGTGCGAGAGAGACAGCCAGCGACTCTTTGGGGATCAGTCTGCAGCAGAGGACGGGCAGGAGCAAACCAGTGACGTAATCCTTAGGCTAGTTTGTTCCAGTTCTATGTATCTCTTCGGCTACTGCCAAAAAGAAAAAGAATTTAAAAAAAAACTTGAGAACTTGCTGTATTTGTAAAAGGAACGGCTGTGGCTTTCTGTCTGTCTGTCTGTCTGTCTGTTCGTCCGTCCGTCTGTTTGTCCTGTGTGTGTCTGTGTGCTACGCGCAGACCCTAATTGCGTGCGTGTGCGTGCGTGTGTGCGTGCGCGTGTGCGTGTGTGCGTGTGCGTGCCTGATGTTTGTCGTCAACTCGTTCAGGACAGCGTCGGCCCGAAGACGTGCCGATCGGACACTTTCCTCTGCACCTCCAATTTTTTTCTTTTTTTTTTCTCCCTCGCTCCTTTTCTAACTTGGCCCTTCTTTCGGCAAGGGAAGGTGCTGAATGAATAATCCATTCCGGGAAGGGGGAGTGCGAGAGAGAGAGAGAGAGAGAGAGAGAGAGAGGAGAGAGAGAGAGAGAGAGAGAGAGAGAGAGAAGCGTAACGAGATAATCTTAACCGCAACACCCCTCGGGGCGCCAAGCCTTTTCTCCTCATTGCTCCGCGCCCCAGTGGTAAAAAGGCAAGATTTTTATTCGTCAAAAACTTGCGAGTACAACTACTACTTGTTCCTAATTACGCGCTGAATGGCGACACTCGCTGTGAGTGCGGCCTGGCCCGGCCTAGCCGCTGGAACTCGCTGGCGCTGGAGCGGAGCGCGAGGCTGGAGCGCGAGGCTGGAGGCTTTTCATACCGCGAAGGCGGCACAGTGGGCCAGAGGACCGGTGGAGGCGGCCAAAACTCTACACGCGTTTTGAGCTCCAGAGTCGCTAAATGGGACTCGAACCGAACGTGTGACCCCACCAATGGATTCCTCGTTCGGAGAGCAATCCATTGGTGGGGTCACACGTTCGGTTCGAGTCCCATTTAGCGACTCTGGAGCTCAAAACGCGTCTAGAGTTTTGGGCGCCTGCGCCGGTCTTCTGGCCCACTGTGGGCGGGGCCAGGCGGAGCCGAGCGGAGCCGAGCGTGACTTTTGAGGAACTGCTTACACAGCCACAAGGGTGCGCGAGGTTACGCGAGGTAGGCAAAGGAAGGAAAGCGTAAATAAAAAAAATTACCTCGCGCTCAAGGCTGCCATTTTTATTTATTTCGCACTGCTAGAAAGAAAAATGACGAGTACACAAGGAAAAAATTCCATCTTTCAAAAGACGTTGTAAACGTTTGACGCCTTGCTGGTTTAAAAATCTCGCATTTTTAAATCATTTGTCGTTTAGTTTTTTTTTTTTTTTTTTTTTTTTTTTTTTTTTTGAAAAAAAAAAAATAAAGTGGTGTCCGTGGAGAAAGTAACACTGCCGTCCGAATATTTGATTTTCGGACAGGTTACCCGCCGTTTGGGCCACTTGGCTCGAAATGAGCCAATCCGACCCCATTTCCCGGTGGAGCGGGTAAGCCGGGGAAACTGAACCCCGACTGCAGCGCATCCGGCCTTTTTGTGTCCTTTGACACACATGCCGTGGCGTGCCGTGGCGTGGCGTGCCGAGCCGCGAGCAGCGGAAGCAGGCGGAAGCGTGGTGCGACGGGAAGTCCGAGTGAGATGACAGCAACCACAAAGAGGAGTTGACGCTGCGCGACGAGTCTCACTGGACGCACGCCAGCACACTGGCCAGCACTGGCTGCACGCACCGGCTGCGTCGCTCGGACGGACAGCCCGACACACCATCGGTATTTTTGGAACACATCAGTATCAAATTCCTGAAAGACGCCCGCTTCAAGGAAAAAAAAAACGA